GGTACGGTGGATTAGAACCAGGGGTATTTTACCACTGAGCTGCATCCCCAGTCCTTTTTATTTTTATTTTTTTATTTGGAGACAGGGTCTTGTTGAGTTGCTTAGGGCCTCACTTAGTTGCACAAAGGATGGCCTCGCACTTGAACTTGGGATCCTCCTGCCTCAGCCTGCCAAGTCACTGGGATTACAGGCATGCCCCACAGCTGTCCAGGGCAACCTTCTTTACTTGTTCTATGGATTCAAAGGCTAATCTCTTCCAGAAAGATCCTCACAGACCCAGCCAGCAACTGTGTTTAGCAGCTTCTGGGCCTCTTATGACAATCAAGTTGACACATGATTAACCCTCGACCTGCCAGTCACAGGCTTTCCCTGAATCCTGGACTTGCTATGGCTTAGATTAGCACCTTGTTCTTGTCCAGTTAGCCTAGGACACCGGAACCATCCTGTGGTTGGCAGTGCCACTCACGTTCAGGAGGAGCAAGATGAGGCCAGAGTTGGGCCAGGGCTCTGGGAGTGGAAAGGAAGAGAGTAAATTGAAAAGGCTTAATAATAGAATCAGAAGGGCTCAGTGACCAGCTGCGTATAGAGGCCAGGTTTTGCCTATAGGGAAGTCACACACCACAGGTGGAACAAACTCTCATTAAAATCAATTATGTTTGCAGCACTAGGGACTGAGCCCAGGGTGTCCTGCATGTAGGCAAGACTTCTACCCTGAGAGATACCCCAGCCCTGTTTCTCTTTCTTGTTCCTCTCTTTGGTGCTGGGGTAGGACCCAAGGGTGCCTAACCACTGACCTACCTTCCGGCCTCCCCTTTTTTAAATATTTTTATGTGGTTCTGAGGATCGAACCCAGGCCCTTACAGGTGCTAGGCAAAGGCTCTACTGCTGAGCCACAATCCCAGCCCCCATCCTGGGCCCTTTTTAAGTTTTATGTTGAGAGCTGGGAATGTGGATCAAGCCATAGCGCACTCGCCTGGCATGCGTGGGGCCAGGGTTTGATCCTCAGCACCACATACAAAGATATTGTGTCTGCCGAAAACTAAAAAATATTAAAAATTATCTCCCAAAAATAAATAATAAATAAATAAAAAATGATCTTTCCCCAACACACTCTAGATCACATGCTCTGTCATCTATTGGTTAGGGAGTTTTTGTTGTTGTTGTTCTTGGTTTTTTTTTCAATTATACTTAAAAGACATCCCTTTTCCCATCTAAAAATATTCAATTTGGAACGTTTTTGAAAGATTCCCTACTTTCTAAACATATAATATGTGCTCTGATTTTCCTATATTTGAGACCAAACTGATTACAGGGTCCACAAAGACCCGGGAGCAGTGAGCAGGACCTGGGGACCTGAGACTCCCGCCCCCAGCGCGCACGTGCTCTTTCAGCCTGCCCCGCCCCTGCCCCGCGCCCCGTTCCGCCTCATTGGCCGGTGCTCCCACAGACACGCCCACCTCCCGCTTCCATTGGGCGCTGGAGTCAGGGACTTCGACTGGAGGCTGGGGCACCGCTATAAAAGGCGTGAAGAGGAGCAGCTCAGGATCCTGGCACAATTCCTCCTGTGCACGTTCGCGTAACCACCTGTCGGCTTGTCCTGACCATATGGACCCCGGAGGCCAGCTCCAAAGCGCTCAGGAGGGCCCTGCCTCGCCCTCACCTGTATCGTCCTCCACCCGGAGGCGGCGGTGGTCCTCTCGGGTACCGCCTGGACCCGCAGGTGAGGGCGGAGCAGCGGAACCTGTGGGCATGGGTATGGGACGCCAGCTCCGAAGCGCTCAGGAGGGCCCTGGCTCGCCCTCATCTGTATCATCCTCCACCCGGAGGCGGCGGTCCTCTCAGGCACCGCGTGGACCCGCAGGTGAGGGCGGAGCAGCGGAACCTGTGGGCAGGGGTCCTGGACGACAGCTCCGAAGCGCTCAAGGGTGCCCTGCCTCGCCCTCACCTGTATCATCCTCCACCCTAAGCGCTCAGGAGGGCCCTGCCTCGCCCTCACCTGTATCATCCTCCACTCGGAGGCGGCGGTCGTCTCGGGTACCGCGTGGATCTGCAGGTGAGGGCGGCTCAGCGGAACCTGTGGGCAGGGGGGCCCAAGGGCCAGCCCCTGGAGGGCTGGGTGCGCTGAAGAAAGAGTTTGACACCTCTGTCTTTCCCTGCCCCCCTGCCCTTCCTCCCTCCCCATCAACCCTCCCAGGAGCTGCAGCGGGGCAGACGCGACCCGGAATCCCCGCCGCCATGTGAGTGCTTAGCCTTGGCATCTGGAAGGGGAATGGGGGGCTTCCGAGGGCGCCAAGCTCGGCCTGGGCGAGTGGAGGGTCGGCCCCTGGACGTGCGCTGCTGTTTTCCAACCAAACACCCCAGGCTGGGCCCTCAAGATGGGGAAGAGGACCTCGGGCCCCTTACTCCCCTCCACCTGCAGAACTGGGGATCCTTTCTTCCTGTCCACTTAGGAAGCGCTTCACAATCAAAGACTTTGAAATCGGGCGTCCTCTGGGCAAGGGCAGATTTGGGAACGTCTACCTGGCTCGACTGAAGAAGAACCATTTCATCGTGGCCCTGAAGGTCCTCTTCAAGTCCCAGATCGAGAAGGCGGGACTGGAGCACCAGCTGCGCAGGGAGATCGAGATCCAGGCGCACCTAAGGTAAGGACAGGCTGTGCCTGCGCCTCTCACGCTGGCTCTCTACACCTGCTTCCCCTTCCTGCTGCACATCCCAACTCGGCCTTTCCCACTGCCCCCAAGTAAGCCCTGGGCCTTGATTTTTCTGTGCTGCTCATTCCAGTTCGACCATATAAAGTTTCCTCCCTGGGTGGACATCCCAATCCTGACTATGGTCCCTGAGCCCAGCACAGTTTGCCCCTTGTGTGACCTGTCACTGTTGATAGCAGCAGTTTGGCCTCAGGGAGAAGTTTGACCCACCCTCTGTCCCTCCTGCAGACACCCGAACATCCTACGCCTCTACAACTATTTCTATGACTCTACCCGGATATACCTGATTCTGGAGTTTGCTCCCAAGGGAGAGCTCTACAACTTGCTGCAGAGAAGCGGCCCCTTGGATGAGCAGCACACAGCCACGGTGAGGGGGCCTGGGCTCTGGGGGCCTTGGGCTCACTGCCGGCCTGTGGTGGGGTGGGGGGCTCTGGCTGGTCAGATTGCCTTATAAGTTGATTTCTGAATTTTATTCTCAGAATTTTAGATAGTGAATAATCCTCACATTTTGATACTTTAGTTACCCTAAGTGTACCCAGAATATTACTTGTATGTGTAAAAGTTGAAGTCATTTCTTGAATCTGACTCTACTCTCTTGTACAATATAAGGAGCCAAAAACACTTATTGAAAGGCTATGGAACTAGATGTTTTTTTGTTTTTATTGGGGGGGGGGATGGATTCTGAGAATTGAACTCAGGGTCACTCAACCACTGAGCCACATCCCCACCCCTGTTTTGTATTTCATTTAGACACAGGGTCTCACTGAGTTGCTTAGTGCCTCACCATTGCTGAGGCTGGCTTTGAACTCATTCTCTCCCTGCCTCAGCCCCCAGAGCCTCTGGGATTACAGGCATGCACCACTGTGCCCAGCAGTAACTGGAGATTTCTAGAGGGCACCAGGACAGGACCCACAGCCATGGCCATGCCAACAGCGGTGGCTGGTGGCCTGCTATCAAGATGAATGACTCCATGCTGCCTCCTAGTTCTCCTATTCCCTCTGTTGGGGCTCAAGTCTTGGGAGATGGTGGTTGGCTCAGTGGAGGTTCTGTCTGGCTACTTGCTGGGGGAGGGCAATAGGACCTGTCCAGTTCAACATCCATCCTTTCCCCTTCCCAAACTGGACCTCTGGTGCCTCTGGTGTTGGGGTGAGTGGCAGAGGGCAAGATTCCTCTGCACTCCCAAGGTTCAGGAGGAGCATTCTGTCTGATGGGAAGTGTGGAAGGCTTGCCTTTCAGATGTCTTCACTGTGTTCACAGATAATGGAGGAGGTGGCAGATGCCCTGACATACTGCCACAACAATAAGGTGATTCACAGGGACATTAAGCCTTATTGTGGCCCAACTGGAACTTTTATTTTCTCATCTTTTTTAATGTGTGACTTTAGCAATAAGATTTCATGTAAATACCTAATAACTTATGAACCATTGCCCCATACTTCCAGCAGTATGTTGTTCTATAAGAATAGATTAGAATCCATTCACTGGGTCCTTAATGTACCTTCACTCTATTTCTTGATACTGAGAATATTTTTGTGAAAAAATTCTCAGTATCCGTTCTGGATCATGAGTTAAATGATTGCATGAATTTCAACACACGGTTGTTATGGTCCTGGTACTTGCTTTCTCTGTACCTTGGTCCATGTTGGTGTCTTCAAACTCCAGTGCTTGGGCGGGGACTTCCAGGATTTCCCTGATCTGGGCCTCTGCACAGTGCTCCCCTCTCCCTCCACCAGGAGACAGACTATGTGTGGGACTCTGGACTACTTGCCCCCAGAAATAGTGGAAGGCAGGACCTACGATGAGAAGGTGGACCTGTGGTGCGTCGGGGTGCTCTGCTACGAGCTGCTGGTGGGACGGCCACCCTTTGAGAGCCCCTCTCAGAGCGAGACCCAGAGGCGCATCCTCAAGGTGGGATGGCCACACAGCGGGCATATTCGGGGAGCTGGGTGGGGGCAGCTGCTGAGCCTGGGGGGGACTGGGGCACACACATGAGGTTACCTGCTAGGGTCCCGAGGAGTGCCTCGAAGAGGCACAGAGAACATGGAGCAAAGGAATGAACCAGACTCCCCTTGTTTCTCCTTGGCCTCATCAGGTGGATGTGACCTTTCCCCCCTCAATGCCCGAGGGGGCCCAGGACTTGGTCTCCAAGCTTCTGAGATATGAGCCCTCAGAGCGGCTTCCCCTGGCTCAGGTCCTGGAGCACCCCTGGGTGAAGGCTCACTCCCGGAGGGTGTTGCCTCCCGGTGCTCAGAAGGCTTCCTGAGCCCATCTACCTCTGTCCTTCCTGTGCACCCAGGGAAGGGAAGGCTTCCTCCTTTGTCTTTTTAAATATAGGATGCTAACTAATAAAGACTTGAGTCATTTACTACAAGGGCTTTTTGGTTCTGTGCATTCATGCGCAACTGGGCAGAGTGTTTTTTGTTTGTTTGTTTGTTTTTGAATCAGGAAAACTGCCCGAGATGGGGCCCTCTTGGCCTTGGAGATGGTGGCAGGGTTCTCCTTGAGCGCTGGTGGATAACTTCTGATAAAGGCCCTGAAGGTTCCCAACCTGCTGCCTATCAGTGCTTCCTCCTCTCAACTATTCCCCATTTGTAACTGGGACCATCATCACACCCAAGCTCCACCTCTGGAGGCATCCGGTGTGCTGCCATTTTTGAAGTAAATGTAGTTCACTGCATTCCAGGGCCACAGGATTCCCAAATGCACCCACAGGCACCCCGACCTGCGTCATCTCCAGTAGCAAACACAGCTTCTCTGCTGAGGTCTGTCACTGTGCCTGCCGCAATCTCAGTGTCCCCTTCCAGACTTGTCCACAGTCCATGTGGCAGCCTCTGTGCATCAGTGGAAGCTGACCACACCTGAGTCCACCTCTAGACCCCAGCTATAAGCTCCAGGGTGTTTCCTGTGCAGTGCAGCCATCACTTCCGCCAGTGGTCCTTGGGACAGTTTGCCTTGAGCAGGGTCTCCCCTGTGGCCTTGTCCAGCCAACGTAGGTATGAAGGGAAGTACCAGTGAAAATCATGCAGATGATAGAGAAGAAAAGCCGGCTGTGGGCTGTAGCTCAGTGGTAGGATGCTTGTTTACTGTGCACAAGGCCCTGGGTTCCAAGCCACCCCTGCAATAAGGATAAAGCCAACCGTCAAGGGCCAGGCACAGTGGAGCACACCTGTAATCCCAGCAGCTCGCTGAGGCATAAGGATCAGGAGTTCAAAGCCAGCCTCAGCAATGGTGAGGTGCTAAGCAATTCAGTGAGACCCTGTCTCTAAATAAAATACAAGATAGGGCTGGGGATGTGGCTCAGTGGCCGAGTGCCCCTGGGACTGAACTCTCTGGTACCAAAAAGCAGTCAAGTCATCCTGCCCCTCTGCCTCAGGTGAGCAGCCTCCTACTGAATCCTCAGCTGCTCCAGGACGCTGGTTTACAATCTGCATCTTCAGAGCTTGCATCTCTGCTTTCTAGCCTTATCCTATCCGTTTTCTTGAGTTTATATTTCAATTCAACACTTGGTGATTTTTAAAAAAGGAGCTGGCTGGCATGTATAAACCTTGCAGTTTACACATCCGAGGAGAATAAACTCATCACTGGGCACACTTTGGGCAGGCAGATAAGGACAGAACAATCATTAGAGCCTCAACTCTGGCCACCAGATGGTGGTACCTTTGTTTACCTGAGAAGAGTGATGGTTTGTTTTGGAGGCTTCAGTCCCTCTGGGGCTTGTGCAAGGGCAACCTTCACCATTCACAAGGGCCATGGTCAGCACCATTGCCTGAGCAGATTCCTGTTGGTGGGGAGGAACAGGTCTGGGGTGAGATGCTGCTCCTAGGAGAGCACCTGCCCAATGCACAAGGCCCTGGGTTCTGTCCCTAGCACCACACAAAACAAAGCAAAAACAAAATGTTCATTTTAATGCGTCTTTTCATTAAATTAAATATACACCAAATATATCACCATGTGATCAATATGAAGTATTGTTAATTAGGTAATTTACCCTTTTTTGGTCAGTATTAGACACTGAACCCAGGAAGTCCTCTACCACTGAGTCACATCCCCAGCACTTTTTAAAATTGTTTTCTTAAGCCAATGACAAAGGAATTGAGAACTCTGTTTTTATCATTTTTATTGGTTCTTTTTAATTATACATAACAATAGGATACATTTTGGCATAATTGTAAAAGCATGGAATATAATTTAATTCAGTCCCCAGGTCTTCCCCTCCCCCCTCTTCCTTTCCCTCATTTTTCTGCTCTTTACCTGTAGGGTTTTTGTTTTGTTTTAATGACTGTCTTGAGGAGGAACATGGTAGTGAAATTCCTGGTGGCATATTCATGTATGTGTACAGGAGAATTAGTCAGATTCCTTCCACTGTTTTTCCCTATCCCATTCCCCTCCCTTCCCTCCATTCCCCTGTGTTACTCCACTGAACTTTCTTCTTTCTTCTTCAGTGTCTCAAACTTATTTGGGGTTAGTTTCCACATGGCACAGAGAATATTCAGCTTTTGACTTTTGGGGACTGGCTTATTTCACTTAGCATGAGAGTCTCCAGTTTCATCCATTGGCAGGCAGATGTCCAAAAGTCATTCTTCTTCATGGCTGAGGCATACTCTACCGTGTGTGTATACATCATTTTCTTTATCCATTTATCTGTTGGCTCCATAGCTTGGATATTGTGAAACTGGGCTCTTCTTCTTTTTTTAATTATTGTTTTGTATTTATATGTGACAGCAGAATGCATTACAATTCTTAGTACACATACAGAGTACAATTCTTCATATCTCTGGTTGTATACAAAGTATATTCACACCAATTTTTGTCTTCATACATGAACTTTGCATAATAATGTCTATCACATTCTACCATCATTTCTAACCCCATGCACCCTCCCTTCCCCTCCCACCCCTCCCAGCACTTTTTATTTTAAAACAGGATCTCACTAAGTTCCTTAAGGCCTTGCTAAGTTGCTGAGCCTAGCCTTGAACTTGTGGTCCTCCTGCCTCAACTTCCGGAGCCACTGGGATTACAGGAACATGTCACTGTGCCCAGCAGTAATTTACATTTTTTTTTACATAGTTTTTTGGTTGTAGATGGACACAATACCTTTATTGTTATTATTTTATGGGGGTACCAGGAATGGAACCCAGTGCTTCACACATGCTAGGCAAGTGTTCTACCACTGAGCCACAATCCCTGCCCCAGTAATTTACATTTTTTAAATACTGTCTTCAACATGTGGTGCAGGTTATACTTAAAACAGGTCTCATTTCAAATTCCAAAATTTAATTTGTTACTTGGGTCATATTAAGATTTCAGGCGGGCTGGGGATGTGGCTCAAGCGGTAGCGCATTCGCCTGGCATGTGTGCGGCCCGGGGTTCGATCCTCAGCACCACATACAAACAAAGATGTTGTGTCCGCCGAGAAATAAAAAATAAATATTAAAAAAAAAAAAAAGATGTTGTGTCTGCCGAGAAATAAAAAATAAATATTAAAAATTCTCTCTCTCTCTCTCCACTCTCACTCTCTCTTTAAAAAATAAATAAATAAATATTTAAAAAATTCTCTCTTTAAAAAAAGAGATTTCATAAAAATTACAGTTGAAGAGTCATACACAAGTTGTTTGTATATGCTTGCACAATCAACTTTTTAATCTGAATATACATCTTTAAAAACATCTGGGTGTGGTAGCACACAACTGTAATCCCAAATAGGAGGCTGAGGCTACAGGATCTCAACTTCAAAGCCAGCCTTGGTGAGACTCCCTCTCTAAATTACTTATGTATACATAATCACCCCTGGGTTCAAGCCCTGGTACCAAAAAAGAAAAAAAGTTCACCTGCCTTGCATAGTCAGCCTAACTGCTCCACTTCTAATGTCCCCAGCCGTAAAATTCTGAGTTGCTTCCCTCCAAAACTTTCCTTTTTATCTCTGACTCACCTTGATGGTCATGCACCCTGTGCCGAACAGAGCTAGGCACAGAAACCTGGCCATGCCCAGCAACCATGCCCCCATCCCTCCAGGTTGGGCTCCTTAGGTGGCTCAGAGGTAGCAATTTTGTGGCCTGCCTTCCGCCCCCAGCACTGAAGAAAACTAGGACTTCCCCAAAGGAAGTGTGGAATGTGGCCTGAACCGCTTCTGCCCCCCACAGGCTGGACAGCTGTGGACTCACTGCCCAAGCCTGTGAGGATCTGTGCCCCCGCTAGGGAGCGCTCAGCACTTGACAGGTAGACCTGACCAACAACGCCCTGGGCGACATGGGCGAGCCCCTGCTCTGCCAGGGGCACAGACACCCCCCCCCCAGCTGACTGCTCATGTCCTTGGGTTGTTTGGGATGGACCACAGTAAGATCAGCCATGGGTGGTTAGCAGCACTTCACAGATCAAAGCCATCCTTGGACCTGGGCTACAGAAGATTCTGCCCCGCACTTCCCAGGCCACAAGGACCAGTGTCTTCAAACTGCACGCAAAAAGCTCTTTCAGCTTAGGATCTTGTGATCAGCCTTTGATGGAACTTCCATGTCTTTAAACACAGGGACTTTGGACACAGAGGATAACTGAGTTCCAAACCCGCCTGACTACCTACCAAAAGATCCTGTGTCAGTAAAGGATAAGGAATGGGGGTGTGGATCAGCGATTACTCTTATCAGTTCAGTTCCCGCAGCAACCCTAAAAGGGGGCATAAAAGCCCAAATGGTTGGAAGGCTACTTTGCCCTACAGAGAATGCAGACATGGTGACCATGAGGGTAGACGTGAAAACTCATGCCAGAACTGACTGGGGTAACCCAGTTCAAGCTTCCAGTGATGCTGAAGAATCAACAGACCAGCAGCAAGAGTTCACAGAAAACAGTTTATTAAAGACCATGTTCAGCTGGGTTGCAGCTCCTGCCTGCAATGCCAACTAGTTGGCATAGGTCCAGTGCAGGGAGCCACCTTCCCAAGAAGGTCTCAGCAATGGCTAAGCCTCTGGCAGCTCCCCACACTCCCATCTCCCTTGGGGGCCCTTTGGAAAGGGGGAAATCAAAGGCACAGGGAATCCAGGCAACACTGAAAAGTCTGTAAATCTCTGTATTCCCTCAGTAGCTGAGGGTTGGGATTGGACATTTCCCCAATTGGAACATGAATGTGAAACCTAATAGCCACTAGAAATTAGGCATACTGAAAATAAGCTAGAGTTCAGGGTACCCAATAATAATGCTTCTAGGGGAAAGCACATTCCCATTTCACCCCTGCATGTCCTCTTTAGTGGGCATCCTAGTAGCCAAATAGGGTCCATGAGAGCAGGGTTCTCTACCCCCACTAATGACTCAATATGCTAGTCTCATCTTCATGTGAACAATTAGTGAGGCCAGGGAGTACATGCTCAAGGCTGTAATCCCCAG